GAGCTGGAACATATTCTTCTTAGTAAAGTATCTCAAGAACAGAAGAAAAAGTACCCAATGTATTCAGTATTGTCATGAAACCAATATATAATCACCCACACTCTCATATCAAAGATAAAACACATTTATAGCCCAAGATGAAGGAAGGAAGACGAAGGTGAGGGGAGGGGAGGGGATGGGAAAGGCCGGGTGGAGGGAGGGTAATTGGGGGGACCTCACCTATGTTGCATATTGCAAGGGTACATGTCAAATCTACTAAGAGTACAGTATAGGCTCGGCGCCTGTGGCTCAAGAGGCTAAGGTGCTAGTGCTAGCCACATACACCTGAGCTGGTGGGTTTGAATCCAGCACAGGCCCGCCAAACAACAATGATGGCTGCAACCACAAAATAGCCGGGTGTTATTGTGGGCACCTGTGGTCCCAGCTACTTGGGAGGCAGAGGCAAGGGAATCGCTTGAACCCAGGAGTTGGAGGTTGCTGCAAGCTGTGATGCCACAGCACTCTACTTAGGGCGACAGCTTAAGGCTCCATCTCAAAAAAAAAAAAAAAAAAAAAGAGTACAGTATAGATGTCCTAACACAATAATTAAGTAAGCGAGGTGAAGGCTATGTTAACCAGTTTGATGTAAGCACCAAATTGTATATAAAATCAGCACGTTGTACCCCATAAATGCATTAATGTACAGTTATGATTTAATAAAAAAAATTGTTAAGAGAAAAACATCCAGTGTTTCCATGTAATTTTTTGACTCTTTCCTCTTCTTCTTCACTTGGATTTTTCTCCATCAACAGCTCCCTCTCTTTCTTTTGTATTTTCTCAATCTCCAATTATACATTGTACTTCCTCTCAGCTTAAAAAATGCTTATATCTCCCACATCTTTATAAATACATTTCCCCAGGACCTTCTCCTTGGTCTGAGCCCCTTTGGAGAGAGTCCTGGGTTTGGTCCTGATCCTCTCCATGGGCCTGTTCAGTCTTTTCACCTCGCTGAGCCACAGTTTCCCCCTTATACCTGCCCCTTGTGAGTGTTAATCCCAGAGGATGCTCATTACATAGCTGATGATATATATGTATATATATATATTTTTAAATTAAATTAAATTAAATTAAATTAAATTTTTTTGAGACAGAGTCTCACTATGTCAACCTTGGTAGAGTGCTGTGGTGTCACAGCTCACTGCAACCTCAAACTCTTGGGCTTAAGCAATTCTCTTGCTTCAGCCTCCCAAGTAGCTGGGACTACAGGCGCCCACCACAATGCCTGGTTATCTTTTTTGGTTGTAGCTGTCATTGTTGTTTGGCAGGCCCTGGCTGAATTTGAGCCCGCCAGCTCTGGTGTATGTGACTGGCGCCCTAGCTGCTGAGCTACAGACGCCGAGCCAGCTGATGATATTCTTCGAAACATCAGTTGCATCATGGCTGGCGGTGGGAATGGACAGTGACTACAAATAGGTCTAAGGGATATTTGGGGGTGTTGGAAAAGCTCTGCAGTTGGACTATGATTGTTCTGTATTTTTACCGAAAATCCTAGAATTGCCCACTTCATAGTAAGTTTTATGGAATATAAACTATATTTCAATAAAGCTGTTATGAAAAATGAAGGTCACAAATATTTCTCTGATGTCACCCCCACTTTCTCACTACAGAGACCCCTCAAATTCTTCTAGGTGAGAATCACTAGAGGCTTCTTTCCCACTGGCTCCTCCCTTTGCTACCCCAACCAAATCTGAAGACACACTGGGAGACAGGGCCATGGTGAGGAGCGTCATATTTGGAAGCCAGCCAGACCTGGGTTCAAGTCCTGGATTATCCCATCTAATCATGTGGGTAAAACGTTCACTCTTCTGAATTTTAGTTTTCTTGTCAGTGCAATGGGGGAAAACTCTTTCTGATGGTTGTGAAGATGAAATGAGACAATGCCTGTCAAACATCTGTCACCAGACCTGGGGGAAAGTCAAGGGCCTATGGTTACTCCCACAGCTGCAGGGAAGAGGCTTCTCTGATGTTCTAGCCTTCACTGATGTTTATGCTCTCTGAGCTACAATGCAGGCCTCGTTGTTTCTCCTGGGAATTTGAATCAGCCTCCTTACTAATCTTCCATCTCCTGCCTGAACTATGGCAGTTATTGTCAACACAGGCTGTCACAGAGATGCTTTTAGGGGAATAAAAAATCTGACCAGGTCATCATGATCCTCCTTAAGAGATCTTCCAATCCCCCATTGCTTACAGGGTGAGTTCCAAAGTCCTGAACATGGCCATAAGGCCCCAAGTGACAATTCAGTCACTTCTCCCTCCTGGCCCCTTCTATCTCAGACATTCACCACCTCAGCTGTCTCCTGCTCACTCTCTTGACCTTCCTCTGTGGAAATGAGCTTTCTCTTCTCTGCTCTTTTCCTCACCTAGGAAGTCCTTGAACACTTTGCTTAAGTCTAGATTTTTGTTATATATGAGCTGGCAGTTTGTGATTCCCAGTTCTCAGTATTGTTTTGAGAACAAAATAATGATAAATAAGACAAGAATAACAAGAATTTAAAATGACAACAATAGCCAGTAATTATTCAGCACCTAATATGCATCAAGTACTTTGCTAAGCAATTTACAGAAGGTATCCCATTTAATTAAATGAGCTAGAGTTATGATCTATATTTTATCATAGGAGATTCAGAAAATTTAACTTACTCAAGGTCAACAGGTAGCAAGAGTCAAGGACAACACTCAAATCCAAGCCTACATGAAACCAAAGTTCATCTTTCTTTCTTTCTTTTTTTTTTTTTTTGAGACAGAGCCTCAAGCTATCTTCCTGGGTAGAGTGCTGTGGCATCACAGCTCA